AACATTGATTTTTTTAAAAGAAGTTGGTGACTTATGAAATGCACTGATTCAGACATAATATCTGACTTGTGTTATGCTGTTAAGGAGTAACGACCAAGTTGAGGAGACAAAGTTGGATTCAGAAAGCTGCAGCAAGGAGGGAGCGTATGTAGAGGTAATGATGCTGGAAGAGCCTATGCACAGTCCTAAAAGTAATGATGGCAATCAGAGGTGTGTTGAGCAAGTCTTTACACACGGTTTTATGAAAAGCTTTAGTTTTAAAAGAAGTTGGTGACTTATGAAATGCACTGATTCAGACATAATATCTGACTTGTGTTATGCTGTTAAGGAGTAACGACCAAGTAACAATAATATATTTTGTTGGAGTGTTTACCAAAATAAATAATAAATTATAGAGTCAAAATAAATATGGGTAAAAATTATCATCATGAGAAGATATCCGATTTACGTGATTTGGCTTGCCTACATTCATGGATATTACCTCCTGTCCACTATATTAAATATATGTATTACATATCATATCTCCAAATATATGAAAATACAATAAATTGGACTGAGGCACGATAATCTCATTCTCTTTAAGAAGATTCAAACTAAGTTGGTAAAAACTATCACTCTCCGATGTAGTAGAATATATTAGCTTGTCTCCTGCAGGATATAACAACCCAACGTTTAGTCAGGTTGACTCCATCAACTCTGCACACCACAAAAACACTTTTACAGCTTGCCTAAACATTTCTATATAAACACAATATAAAATATATATACACACACTCATATTCTTCATGTACAGTTCCTCATATATATACACATCTATCAAAACGTGAATAATAATAAATTAATTATAACTCATAACCTTTCACATGACACCAGTGGGCTAGATAGAATTTTAGTTCAGAGGGGGCAATAATAAAATATTATATTTATAAAAGTATTCTCACCCTGTCTTATTTTAACCCTAACAAACTTAACTCTCATTTTTAACCAAGACATTGACTTAGACTGTGATGATCGTTTCTAGAAAAAAACAAATATTTTATTAAGAAATAGAAATTTCATCAAACAACAAGTAATTTTTTACATATTTGTACATATATTCATCCCAGAAGAAATTAACAAACATTATAAAAAAGAATAGAAAATAAACATTTAATGGTAGACTTTATAAAAGTTATTATCATAAAATAAACATTTGAATAGTACAAATTATAGAACTATTTAAAAAAGGGAGCTGTTAGAATGTGCATGTGATTAAATTGTGCACATCATATACGCCTGACTTTTAAACCATTAGATATATATAAATTAATCTGAACCATTAAATAATTTTATTAGAAAAATTGAATACCTGTTGAACTGGTTTTTCTTTTTTCTTTACTGCTTGTTCTCATCCCACAAAGCCTCACGTTGTTTTGGTCCGAAACCTTCATTCTTTCAGACAAAACTCCGGCGATCTTCTTCACCCTAGAAGACCATCCCATGAAGTGCAACTCCAGCGATCTGTTTTGCCCCTGTTTTACTGATTGTTCCATCTATATTCTCTGCATCTGAAAATTTTTGCATAACCCATGAATAAGAATATTGTAATTGTATGCATCATGAAGTAGTCCATACTTAAACATCATACAAAAGAAAGATTTTGCAACATCTACGTAACCCATTTTACAGAACCTTGACATGAGAGTATTGAATGAAGCAACACAGAGCCCAAAATGCTTCCCTTCATTCTCTTGCAGGAAGGCTACTGCTTCTTGTAGCAATGATTGTCTGCATAGACCATCTATTAGAATTGAATTGGTGTGTTCACTCTGAGGAGTCCCACTAGCTTTGATTTCATCATATACATCCCACATGATACTAGTGTGCCTTAAGTTGTACAACAAACTGTTGTAGGTCAAGATTGAAGCTTGGATTTTCATGTCTTCATCTTGGCAATAACAAAGAGAGCATCATGGACCATCTCTGACCTTGAATAAGCAAAAGCCAAGATGTCTCATACCACACCACTTGATTTCCAAGCCTTGAATCTATTCCGAAGCACGTACCTAGATGGAGGATTATAATTGGGTTTGATCAGTATCTTGACGTAGTCATGTTTGCCTCTCTTGTTTTTCTAATTTTCTCTGATAAAAAAAGAAAAAGAAAAAAAAAAAAGAAGGTGTTATGATTATGATTCATTAGTAAAAGTTATGATTTGTACTACCAAAAGTTATGATTTGTCATGGTGAATTATAATAAAAAATGTTACGATTCAAATGTTATGATAATTTGTTAACAATAACTACAGTTGTTATTAGTCGCTGCCATATTGTTACGATTGATAGTGTCTTTGTTATGATATCGTAGTGTATATTATGACATTGTTATGATTTATTGTAATATTGTTATGAGATTTCAAAAAAGTTATGATTCTTTCATGTAACCTATTAGATGACCGGTTTAGCAAGTCATTTTTTATGATGTGGCACTATATGGACCATACAATAAGTGCATATCATATGCTCTTTTAGAAGGTGCACATTGTAAACTTTCCCTTTAAAAAATAAAGAAAAAAACACAAATATATATTCAAATTTAGAAAGGATAAAGTGAGAAATAATTTATTAACCTATAACTAAACATAAATTTTAGAAAGTTGCGCCTCTGCATGACACACTCAAATCTTCATCATATTACGCTATTATATAATTTTAACTATATATGTATATAATTTTAATATTAAAATAACATAAGGCCATCTATGCACCAACTTATTTCAAACCATCAAGTCAAGATTTGTGGGTTTATATAATATTATGAGGACTAATTAGTTTAGGAAATAATAGTGAAGATTGGTGGATCTGACACAATTTTTGAAGACAAATTACAAATTTTCAAGATTGGTGTTAATTTTTTTTTTTAGATTTATAGTTCCAATTGCATTAATTTTTTTTTTTGATTTTTTAAATTGTGTCGATTCAGATATTAGATCGAAATTAGTGAACAAAATAGTTCATTCAATCGTCTCAAAGTGATTGAAAGGTTGATATTGAATTTGAAATGATTTATTCCTGAACAATTTTACACTGAATTTCTATTCGATTTCTTAACATATATTACAATTGAACTAAATTAACACAATGTAAAAAATTAAAGTGCAAAATTGATTGAAGAAATTGTGAGAATTAAAATAATTTCAATTCAGAAAGAAGAATACCTCCTGCCATGATGTTCAAGTCTTTGAATCTTTATCCTTGAATGATCAAATCTTGAATATATAAACAAAATCCACTCACAGTACACTTTTACAGAACCATATGGAAAAAGTGAAAGGAATAGAGTTTCAAGCCTATTCTATTCACAAAACAACGTCTGTGTTTGATGGCTATCACAGGCATATATATAGATAGGTTTGAACCCATATCTAAGTGTAACTCCTTATAACTTCCCACCATCAGGGAAGTTGTAACTTTCCATGAAACCACCATATGGGATAGTGGACATATGTTAGTTACCCATTAAACTGATTAAATATATATAATAAAAAAAAATATATATAATATAAATAAATAAAACAAGCATGTGGCATATGAGCCACTTTATGAATATTCTTACATTCTCCCACTTGGCACATATAACACACGTTATTGACTGTCGGGTAACTAACAAACAGATTATGGCCATTAAAAAAAAAACCCAAACCTTAGAGTTATAATACACAAATCATGGTAGTTATACTCTATCAATTGAGTATTTCCTTCTATGTATTACATTATATGATACTTTCAACTTTATGTGGTGTCATTCTTTATGAATAACTTCAAATAAGTTATTCTGGGTCCAATGATCCCTATAGATCAATAGTCCCAATAGACTGCATAGCATCACAAATACTTTAGGTGCACAAAATGATACTTTTCTTTAATAATAATCAAAATGTCATGACAAAATAAAACAAAAAACAAAACAAAAACAACTAGAAAAATTATTGAGCTAACCAATCAATCCCATGCCCTCAACGTGTTTTGAAAACACCTTTACAGAAAGACCTTTGGTCATGGGATCTGCAATCATCATATCGGTACTAATATGCTTAATGCTGACTTCTTAACATGGTCTCGAACAACAAGATACTTTATGTCAATATGCTTGCTTCGGTTGCCACTTTTGTTGTTGTTAGAGAAGAAACCGTAGCCGAATTATCACAGTAAACCTTTAATGGCCTAGAAATTGAATCCACAATTCGAAACCCTGTGATAAAATTCATAAACCAAATAGCCTGTGATGTTGCTTCAAGCATGCTATAAACCCTGCTTCCATTGTTGACAATGCAATTATCGTCTCTTTGGCGCTCTTCCATGAAACAGCACCAACTGCTAGCAAATAGACATATCCTAGAGTGGATTTTTTGGAATCTTGACAACTCGCAAAATCCGAGTCTGAATATCCAACTACCTCAAGACAGTCAACATGCTTGTAAGTAAGCATGTAGTCCTTGGTTCACTACTACAAAATTATAAATAGATTACACTTTTTATGTGTAATGTATATTATTTAATCACACATTTTAAGTTTTGTCAAAATGTGATCTTTCGGAGTGTGATTAAAAATGATTTTTAATTACACGTTTTAAGTGTCATTAAAAGATGATTCCACCACACATTTTGCGTGTGATAATAAATATTTAGATCACATCTTTTAAGTATGATTAATAACATTTAGATCACATATTTTAAGTGTGATTAATAACATTGAGATCACATCTTTTAAGTGAGATTAATAACTAATAAAACCTGTGATAATAAACATTTATATCACAGATTTTAAGTGTGATTAATAATGAGATAAGATCACACATTATATGCATTTCTTATCACAGTTAATGCGTGTGATAAAAAAAAGGGGTTCGACGTATTTGAAGAATAATCAATATTATTTTTGTACGCGCACTTGAAGAATGTAATACACAATATATACTATCATTTGAATCACAACCACATATTGAATGGAATAACGTTATATATTTCATAAATAAAAGTTAAATGTTTAAAAGTATATACAAAAGAATTAATAAAAAGTTTTTAACTGTGATTACATATATTAAAAAATAAAAAAACTTGAAGCACAAAGTTCTTGAATTCTTTGATCATATTTTGCATCTTTCCAAGCAATTTCTGACCTAAAAAATGAAAACACAAATTAATTCAGAGAGCGCTAGAAGCATATGAATAAACTTACTGTTTGTAGAGACTGTTCTAGTAGAAAAGGTAACGTCAGACATTTTCTTATTACACTGACTCTTCATCTCCTACATCAATACAAAAGGAAGAACCAGTTTGATTGTTACTAGTATAAAATGTTTGGATTACCATATAGATATGATATATATATATATATAATTAACAAATCCAAAATAAAAATCTTCAGTGCATAGCCAGATATTTTAAAGTCATAAAATCAAAATAAGAGCCAATTATGGCTTAAATATAGTGAGTGGGGGAAAAAAAAAAACACTTTTCAAGGCTTTTGTCCTCAACTAGTAATAAAGTAAGCTCACTTGTCCTGGGAGAGGAACACAAATGACCCCATGGTTCCTTGCAATTTTTCATTTCACAAAGTTGGTCAATCTAGTATAAAGTCCAAACATCATGTCGTAATTTGTTATTTGATTTTCAACTGATGTTTATGCATTTTAATTAGGTTTGGAGTTCTTATTTGTGAGATATTATGCTCTCATAATTTGGGTATTTTTGTCTTAAATAAACTATATGTGAATTTGTGAGGTGGTGTTCCTTCTTGCCTTGAAAATAGATGTTGTCTAGTTGTGGGGAATGTGTATGGATACTGTTTCACAAGGAATAAGTTTTGCATCCACTAATAGCAAAAAAATAGAACGAGCACTGCTATGAAAATCTGTCTACATGACAAGTTTCAATAACAATACTTATAACCTAGATGCTTATGGCAATGTCAATGAAGATTTCAGCAAGGAAATTACAAAAATCAAACAAGCCATCTAAATACAAAGGAAAGAAACATAATTAGAACAAGCTTTAGGATTTGCTAAGTTTAGACCAACTAACTAGTTTTCTTGACATGAGCATAATGCTGTTTGGAAGCTTGGAAAAAAAGGAGATAGAGAATATAAGAAATTTCGAGTATCACATCAAGTAGGTTGCTAATCGTTGGACTGGAAAATTTCTATCAAATTCAGGCAACAAATGCATCAAGATTTCACTATGTCAAATGATTCAAGATTTTGGTTGGCAAAGTTCAGTTCAATTTAACAGAATTATGAGGATGAAAGGATTATTAAGTAGCATCTAGAGAAACAAACCCTTGGCAGCATCATAACCCAAACTAAGATCTTACTCCAAAAATGAAATGTAATTGGCCATCAAAAATGAAAAAGACAAACTTGCCTGGAACAATTCCCTTTTCCACAGCTGCTCTTGTTGCTTTTAAAGCATCTGTAACCCGATCTTTCCTTTCTCCAACTTCTGCCTTGCCAGCCTTTCTAACCTGAAAGAATAAGACTTGCAATGAAGTCATTAAAATACGTGCAACAGTAGAAATTCAGTAAATATTTACCTTGAAAATGGTAACACCGCCAGATAGCTTTGACAATCGCTTATGTGCTTTCTCTTTGTCAAAAATAGCAGTACTCTTCTTAATGGCGGCCCTTAGCTATTCAAATATATAAATAGTATCTCGTTAACATTTTTCTATGCAAATCAATGGCTTTAAGACCCTACATGATAACATGGGAATTCTATGTCTCTTCAATTAAGTACTTGAGAACATTTCTTTAGTAAAAACCATAACTCTAATTAAAATCAAATCCAAGAAAAAAAATTATTATCAATATTTAGTGCTCAAATTAATGGTTAGGAAATAGATTTCTCCCATGAAATGGAAGTTTTAAACTATAAACATCATGTGTTGACCATGGGTATTAGGGAGGATAAAGCCCATCTTCCCCTATTAACTTCAAGCACTTCCCACTACGACCATTCAAATTTCCACAAAAAGATATGTTGCAGCACATCAAGCATGGAATTACACTATTATGAATTTAGCACAAAAAATGAATGCTAAATACTACCTGCACAGGACAAAACAGAACATAAATCTTTAAAAGGAAACAAGTGCATACCTCTAACCACATTGATGTTTTCACCACTTTTTGGGTTCCATATTCTCAAAGTTGCATCATTAAAACCAGTACAAATTGTTTTACCTAAAGTTACTAGGAAGTAAAACACACAGGCATAGATAAAATTTAGCTTCTGAATGAAAATCCTTAAATATACAATTTCTATTTTGTTGTCACCAAAAGTAGGATAGTGCCATCAAGTGAAAATCACCACAAGTCACACTACTAGCATGACTGAAAACAGATTAAGATAGGCACTTTTGTCAGCATTCCACGTCTAAACAGTGGAATCCTCCGAACTAGCCAAGACCAAATGTCCTTTTGGATGCCACGTGACCCACTGTGTAGGCAGATAGTTCATACTCAATCTTCATACATTAGCTATGTGACAAAAAACACTAAGAGTAGTCATAAAATCTCACCTCAATGCCCCATTAGGACCATCAAGCGCACACTTGAGATTCCCAGAATTTATGTCCCAGATTTTAACAAGTCCATCAAAACTTCCAGATGCAAGCAACTGTCCATCAATACTAAAGGCTAAACTAGACACAAATTGTAGAGACCCTAATTTTTGTAATATATTATTAGTAATTATTTCAGTTAAACCTTTGAATTTTTGCTTTCTCACAAAATAGAATTCTACATTCATTAATTATGTACTAATAATAAATATTTTTGGTTACAAAATTTCATTTGGCATCCTTACACTTATTTTGTATATATATATATATATATATTTAATTTTGTACCAGTTATTTATTATATTATTTAATATATGCTATAAATCCCTTAAGTGTGTCTGATTTGATTCTTTGGGGAAGGGGTGGCAAATCCATGCTCCATCAGTTCCTTGTAACTCCCATGCTCCTTTATTCCCTTGTAACTTGTGGGAATCTCACCAGAACACCACACTTCTTTTCCAAAGAGGGGACAAACATGCAACCCTATAGTTCCAATTCTTCAGTCTATATTATGTATATATATTTTCACCTCTTTTAGCCCCTCATTCTCGTTTGTGAGCTGCTGAAGCCAGAAGAGTAGAGAGTTTGAGGCTTAAAAAAAAAAAAGAGAGAGAGAAGAGAGAGAGAGAGAGAGAGAGAGAGAGAGAGTAAGGAAGTAGAACTTGAAAGCTAGCTTCATAGTAAATTACACACCCCTCTTCTCTTCTCTAATCCTGCTTACTCTTCTTAATCTACCTCCTAGCATGTCCCGTGTATGTATGAAATGTTGGTATGCTTGGAAATGGGGTGTAAATTTAGGTGTTAGTATGAATAAGTGATGCTACCTTGTATTTTCTGCTGATTTCATGACTGCTTCAACTTTATCACTCTTGGAAAAATATCAAACTTACTTCTTTTTCAAAACTGAATGTAGGGGATGATTTTTGAGGTGTTTAGAGCATGTGACATTTTTGGTAGCCCCTAATTAGACGTTTTTATAGTCTAAACAATTTTCTTAAACAATCTAGCCCTGTGTTTCCAGAAAACAGTCCACTTTGTGTATTTAAAAAACAAAAACAAATCTAGAAAAATCAACTTAGGTTGGTTCTTATGTCAAAACTTAGCATTTTTAGTCCTCTTTCCAACAAAATTTATTTGAGTAAAAGTTATTGGGTAGATTGAGAGAAATGCTCATTTTCCTAAAAGTGTGTTAAATCTGGACAGAATATGGTGTATGGCCTATAGATAAAAATTCTGGTTAGGTTATGCAAATTTTGAAATTGGGAATGAAAGTAAACTTATTATTCTATGTTTCTGTTAATTTTCAGAACCTAAAAAGGTCAAAAGTATTTTTACCGGCCCAATCCTTTGGCTCCTATACTAATCTAAAAATATGTTACTTTTTTGTGTCAAGTGTTCCTGAGTGCTCAAAAGCATGCCAAATGTGGTTTACTTGCCTTACCATGCTTGTATGTATTAATGTGTTATATTTCATCCCATATACTTGCCTTACATTCATGTATATTATTTGATTCGAATCTAGCTATATCAACCAGGGCAATTACCTTCATATCACAAGAAACCATAACATTGGAATGGTGAGAACGCACTGGACCACCTTCAGAAACTCAAATTAGAAGTAGATGAATTACTCTAATCAATATTACGAGAATCATACAGCATACAGTATGAATCATACAGCATACAGAACAGATCAAGCCTCTGCATAGAAAAAAACCCCTAAATCTAGAACAAAAATCAAAACACGTTTACTCATTTCACAGAAATCAAGATTCTACAGCATCAAAAACAAAATAAAAACCCTAGAGCTAGAGTGAAATGGGGAGAGAGAGAGAGAGAGAGAGAGAGAGACCCCTGAATCAAAATCGATGGGAGGCGAGACGATGTACCGACTGTGGCGATAAGACGGTGAGACATAGGGAGGGACGGTGCTCACTGTTGATGAGAGGGACGATGAGCGATGGGCAATGGTCAGTTGATGGGAGGGATAGTGATTAGGGATATGAGAAGGAGGCCAAACGATGCTCTGTTTGTTGTTTGGTTTGTTCTTTGTGTATGTATCATACATACAGAGAATAAATCTAAAAAAGATATAATGATACTTAATTGAAAAGTAATATAAAAAATAAATATAATTCCATATTAGCTAGAAAGTGTGATTAAAAAAAATATAAATAATCATAATTAAAAAGTGATATAAAAAATAAATATTATCATACTTAATCAAATCAAGTGTGATTAAAGTATTAATCTAATTTTTTTATCACACTTTCAATAAAAGTGAGATATTTTCATTTGTCAAAGTGTGTTCTTTAACTGTTTTTGTAGTAGTGGTTTCTTTTAAGTACTTTATGATTTTCTTTGCAGTCTTCCAATGTTCCATTCCTGGATTGCTTTGGTATCTTCCAAGCATCCTAACTATAAATGCAATGTCAGGTCGTGTACAAACCAGAGCATGTATTAAACTGCCTACGACAGATGCTTAGGGAATGCTCACCATTTGTTCATTTTCCAACTCATTCTTTGGACATTGACTTAAACTGAATTTGTCACCTTTTAAAATAGGTGTTGCATTAGGAGTGCAATCACTCATCTTGAATTTCTCCAAAATTTTTTAAATGTAGGCTTTATGAGACAATCCTAATGTCCTTTTGGACCTATTTCTGTGAATCTCTATGCCAATGACATAAGAAGTTTCATCCATATCCTTCACTTCAAAATTTTGGGAAAGAAATGGTTTAGTATCATGCAACAATCCCAAATCATTAGATGCAAGTAAAATGTGTAGGACAATCTTCACTGTATTTAAATATATTAAATTCTGTTGTGTACAAAACAACAACAAGAATATAAAGAAATAAAGAAAATGAGAGAATTTGTTTGATTACAAAAATCAAACTCGAAATAAAAATAAATAAATAAAAACAGATTTTATTTTGTTACAAAAACAAAATTAAAATTTGATTAAATAAACAAAATTAAAATCAGAATAAAAATTAAATAACTTACTTGGTTAATTTCTTTTGAATAACTATCTGATCAAGTCCAGTGTTTAACACTGTGTCCTTAAGACAGATTCGTCCTCTCCACGGTGCTTTCAGAATTTGGACGTCTATCTCCCAAGATGAAATGATCTACCACAAACAATAGCAGCACTACAAATTGTTTGCCTTACGAACACACTAAGTGTTTACACTCTTTGTTTCAGAAATAAAATGCAACAAAATGAAGAATAGAATAAGCAGAGGTGAAATATGAAATTTCTGAATGAATAACATCAAATGAGGGTGGTCCTATTTATAGATGTAAAGATGACTCTTGGTTTTAAATTGAACAGGTATGATACTTGTTAGCTTTGAATTCAAACAGATTTGAATCTGTTAATAATTCAAACAGATAGCAAAAAACGGGAAGGGCCCTATTTGGGTGTGCACTAATTCGAAACTAGTTTATTTCTGTTTGAAAACGGGAAGGGCCTTGTTTGGATGTACAGAAAATCCAAATCAGTTTAATTTGAATTCTGGATTTTATTTTACCAAAAATAAAATTAAATTCAAATGTTTTTGGCCCAAAAAGATTAGTATTGGGCTGAACAAGTCCAACCCAACCACACACCACGCACCCGCGCCCAAGCCCAGGCCCAGCCTAGCTCGCCCGACCGGACGGCGACGCGCGCATGTGTGGTGATTTTTGAGTCCAATGGGTCTAGCCCATTTTGCCCATAACCTCTACCTCTAAAACACTTGGGTACCCCTTGGGGCACACCCCAAGTACCAAACCCATGCCTTATAAACCCTTTCAAAACTTCCCACCAAATCAATCATATTCTATATATGCCACTATCTACCACCAACACCACTATCATATTCTATACATATCACTATCTACCACCAACACCACTATCATATTCTATACATATCACTATCTACCACCAACACCACTATCATATTCTATACATATCACTATCTACCACCAACACCACTATCATATTCTATACATATCACTATCTACCACCAACACCACTATCATATTCTATACATATCACTATCTACCACCAACACCACTATCATATTCTATACATATCACTATCTACCACCAACACCACTATCATATTCTATACATATCACTATCTACCACCAACACCACTATCATATTCTATACATATCACTATCTACCACCAACACCACTATCATATTCTATACATATCACTATCTACCACCAACACCACTATCATATTCTATACATATCACTATCTACCACCAACACCACTATCATATTCTATACATATCACTATCTACCACCAACACCACTATCATATTCTATACATATCACTATCTACCACCAACACCACTATCATATTCTATACATATCACTATCTACCACCAACACCACTATCATATTCTATACATATCACTATCTACCACCAACACCACTATCATATTCTATACATATCACTATCTACCACCAACACCACTATCATATTCTATACATATCACTATCTACCACCAACACCACTATCATATTCTATACATATCACTATCTACCACCAACACCACTATCATATTCTATACATATCACTATCTACCACCAACACCACTATCATATTCTATACATATCACTATCTACCACCAACACCACTATCATATTCTATACATATCACTATCTACCACCAACACCACTATCATATTCTATACATATCACTATCTACCACCAACACCACTATCATATTCTATACATATCACTATCTACCACCAACACCACTATCATATTATATACATGCCACTATCTACCACCAACACCACTATCATATTCTATACATGCCACTATCTACAACCAACACCACTATCATATTTTATACATACCACTATCTACCACCAACACCACTATCATATTCTATACATGCCACTATCTACCACCAACACCATTATCATATTATATGCATGAACACAATTTCCACTACAATACGTTGAGTAATGTTTTAATAGTAGTTACTCAAACAGTAAAATTTTTTTAGTTAAAACCTCTTTTCTCCATGCCAACTTGGATTCCAGTTCATCCTGCTAAAACCTTTTCGAATTTTTTAAATTGATATATGAAAGTCTGCAAATTTACACACATATATGGGATATACACTAATGAATGCCTTGTGTATCTTAATTAGCAACCTGATTCTGAGAGAGGCCGCACTTCTACCTCTCGACATGGTAGCACATCAAAGAGGGGTGCCGTTCCAACCGGTGGCAGGCCAAGCTCTTCAGAGCCCACTGAAGGTCGAACGGGCAGGTTGGTCTCAGGCAATGGCCGACCCTTGACCAGCAAAAGAATCCAATCTGGGTCTGAGCCCAAGATCATGCCCTTTTCCCGTGCCACAGCCTCAAAACCACGCGATGATTCTCTTCAGACCTTCGAGCTCCTCACAATCGGGACTGACAAGAGGAAATAAACAAATTTTTCGATTAATTTTAAGATGTGGTGTTCCACATTATTATTATTATTTATTTATTTTGTACCTCTCTTTCTTGGAGAAGGATGTAATGCATATTGTCTGTGTTAGGATTATTATCATGTGTTGTAGGTTGTTGAGAGAATTTT